GATATTTATCAGAGTTTTGCTGCTCCAAGCTCAGAAGTGACACAGATTTTCTGTGACATTAGTATGCCTGTTGAATTTACTGCTCCTGAATTTACTGTCTATTCTCCAGCACCTGTCTGCTGCGGGCAGCCAAGGAGGGACAGAGGGAGGTGACATGGTGGATGCTCCAGGCTTTGGCCACCAGCATCACCTGCAAATGCCGCTCAGACAGAGAGGTTCTTGGGCAGATGGGAGGATCTGGGGAAGGTGAAGTGAAGCTTCCAGGTTCTGGAGCTCCCTCCAGCCTCCTGCAGGGATGGAATCAGTGCAGCTCAGGGGCAGCCCTTGCAGGGGGATGGAGTCAGAGCAGAGAGGCACACAGCAGGTCCCTCATTTGCTCAGGTTGTCACAAAGGGCTGGGAGGAGGCAGGTGAGGAGCTTTCAGACTAATCCTTCTTATTCCCATGGGCTGTGGGGAGGAGACCCTGCACAGTCCCCACTGCCAACACCCAGAGCATGAAATCACCAGTGGTCACCTTTGACACAGAACGTGGCAGGGGAAGAGCACACACCTCCTCACATGCAGCTCCCAGTATAGATCTCATTAACCATTGCAATTAACATGAGCCAGGCCCTCTCCCTTCCTTGTCACCCCAGCCAGAGCTGTACATAAAAATAACTGTTTATTACACAGCAGGCAGAGCCGGCTTATCACTGCAGACAGGAAATTGCTGCGCAGAAACCGCACGTTTCACTTTTAATAAGTTTGGCAATAAAACATCTCATCAAACGAGGCCACGACAGGGCAATAATGAAGCTTCCGCGTGGACCATAATTGCTCACTGCTCTCCTGGGGGCGAGCCAGAAAATGGGGAGCGAGGGGGGAGATGGATGGCAGCATCATCCTCCCTCACCTCCTGCTCTGGGAGCATCCATCCCTCCTTATCCCCGGCAGCATCCCCGGAGCACTGATACCCTCCAGGAAGGACTGAAGAGGAGATCTGTCCATGCTGGAGGGATACAGGCAATTCCCATGGAGTGTTGGGGGAGATGTCAGAGGAATAGGGAGGCTCTTGGTGCTCCGAGGGAAATGAAAAGGTTTTCTGCCTTCCAAGCACAGCTTTATATCACTGAGTAGTCTTCATGGGTGAGCAGGTGCTCTCACACACAGTCCATGCCCATCCTTAGCCAGGAGGTTTTGCCCAGGTGGGCTCAGGGTGGGGATCTCAGCATGGCAACAGAGGGATCCTGCAGGAATCCCTGTGCTGGGCCTCTGCTGTGAACCAAGAGGGCTGCAGTGCTCCAAAAACCATCACAGCAAAGAGTGACATGGTGCCTGTGTGTTCTGACATCCTCATGCTGGTGGCCTCAGACTACTGGCTGGTGGCACCTCAGCCACAGAGCACTGGCTGCCCCAGCTGGTCCTTTCCACCAAAGGATGGTGCTGGTATTGTCAGGTGCTCCATCATGATGAGAGTTACTTTCTCTAAAGGAAATCTGGTCCAGCAATTGGTCACTACCCCAACCTATTTCTGAGCTTCCCAGCTTTTGTTTGATCTTCTGGATGCTGGTGGGCACAAGCCAGCCCTGCTACAAGCCGGCTCAGAATGATGGGAGCAGCTTAGGAAGCCCTGGTGAGGTTCCCCAACCACACGTGGGTGACAGGGAGGCACCAGGCAGCCTGCAGAGCCCAGGAGGATGAAGTGATCCCTCATCACTCCTGGAAGCAAAGCTGGCTCCTAACTTCTCTGAGTTAACCTATCCCATTCCCACCAATCATCCCCCTTGGCAGGGAGGGAACAGAGAGGTCCAGGAGGACATGGTGCAACCAATGCTGCAAAGAGGAGCTCTGGCATCAAGAGAGACAGGAGACAAAACAATGCATGTCCAGGCTGGCACGAGGAAATGAAGCAGTTTAGAGTCACAGCAGGAATGTGCTGGCACTAGCAGGGCCTGCTGGCAGGCTCCCGGGTGGGCAGGAGGCTTTGTTCGCCTGCAGCACTGCTCCTGGGGAGTTTACCTGGAATTACTGATCCGCATTCATAAACATGATCACGTTAATTGCTTGCTGAGGCTGCAGTCACCATCTCCTCTCAGCACTGGGACTTCATCTCCCTTCCCATCCCAAATGTCAAGATGTGTCTGTTCTTCCACCCGCTCTGCACCATGGCCAAGGACAGAGAAGTGGTTGGAGGAGGGAAAGAGGCAGAGGATGGGTGAGTCCACAGGCCTGGAGCCAGAGACACACACTCACTTCCACCACCTCTGCTCTGCAAAGCAGTGCCTTGAAAATAAAGAGCAGACACCTTCTGGAGGGCACCAGGAGCTCTGCAGGAATCCCTGCAGCCTTGGGCAGTGATGACCTGGGGAAAGGCACCTTGTCTAGAGACCAGATTTAACAGCAGAGCAATGACCAGGCAGCAGGAGAGACCAACTCCCAGCTGAGGACAGAGACACCCAGGCTGCTCAGCCTGAAACCAGGCTGGTGCTCATCTCACTTGGAGCACAGCCAATCACTTCTAGTAAATTATTCATCTGACAAATTTAGCCTGTTATTCTAGTCGTGCTCTACCCAGAGTTTTACAGATTTCGTTATTATTTCAAATTGTGCAAACACTGCAGAAACCTCTCCCGGGCTCTGGCGCACTCTGCCTTCATCTCAGCTCATCTGCCACATCTGAAATGCGATTTCTGCCATCTGGTACCCAACCCTCCATCCCCAGCATGGCCCCAGGACCTTGGGGAGGTGAGTAGCATCAACAAAAGGCTTTTATCAAAAGGAAAAATATCTACTGTGGGAGAACATCTACTGAGGATCCAGGGGTCAGTGGGATCACAGGAGGCCACAGCACACTTTCAAAGTTATTTTGACTTTTTTTCACCTCCATCTTTGTACATGGGGTAGGGAGAAAAAATGATAGCACTGTTCCCTTGCATCCTGGACTATCTGGTTTCCCAAGCCTGGCTACTTTGAAAAACAGGGAAAAGCTTTTCCCTTCTCCCCCACATGCCATAATTTCTTCTGTTGAGGTTTCTTTGTAATCATGAGGGCACAGCTAAAACTTTGCACTCTCAAAGAGAATGCAAACTATGCGTCCTGGGAAGAAAAGAAGGAAGATGGATGGGTTTGTTATGGACAAGCTGAGAGTGATCAGACCCACGAGTGGAACAGCAATGTGTCCAGGGAGAAGCTCTCAGCCAGGCACTTGAATCTCTCATCATATAATGCAGGGTGTGAGGGAGAAGAGCAGGCAGTGACACCATATCCTTATCTACTCAGAGCTGGAGTAGAAATGCAAGCCCATGTCCCTCACAGCAAGGCTCGAGTTTGCTCCCACTTGTGTGGTGATAGTAAGCTCACACCTCATTTACAGGGAGAAAAGCAGAGTGAAGAGGCCCAGGAATACAAAATGAACCATCTCCAAGAGGTGTAATGCACAGTTTCACCAAAACCGCCAGAAAATAGTATAAATTTCTACATAGAGACCTGACAGGACTCCCTAGCAAGATATTGTGAGACACTTGAATGACTCTCATTAAAGGGAGATTAATTAGCTGAACAGCAGGGATGGAAGCAAGAAATGCAAAACATGGAGCTAATGATTTAAGGAAGAGGTTTACTGGCCAAAAGAAAAACAGAAAAGAAATATGAAAAAATAAGCCACAGGTTAATCTAAATCTTTCCATTCTGACCAGGCTAGAGAGCTAATAGGTGATGGAAAGAGAGAACGGTGAAGTGTGAAAACACTTGTCCTGCATCCCTCTGATCCCCATCCGTAGCAAGGAGAGGGAACATCCCAGCAAGGCCCAGAGGGATGAGGATGGACACGGTGCCTTGTTCCCTGTGGAAGACTAGTGATTTTGTTGTTGTATGGCTCATCCCACCACAACAAGTCACAGTCTGCCCTAGGGCACGGGGCCTCTGCAGCGATGCTGAAGGCACGGAGACAAGCTGGTGGCTGGGGCTGTCTGCGCCCTTTCTCCTCTTCTGACCACCTCGGACATTGCTTTTGTGAGCCTTGAGAGCGAAGCAACGAGAGGCTGGTCTGAAAACCCTCCTTCAACCATGCCCCAGCCGGAGCTGCCCCGCACAGCTCTGGAGCATCCTGGGAGAGTCTGGAGGATGCAAATTCCAAGCTGGCGTGCTCCGGCCCACCCCACCCGCAGGACTAAAGGATGCCCACACGGTCACGAGTCATACAGGAAAACGGCAGGATATCCGTGCCGGGCTGCGCTCCAGGGCGTGGAGCCGGGAACCACAGCGTGCATCCCACCTCAAATTCACCACCACGGAGGGTCCCTTTCTACCAAGGGCAGAGGTGGGGTAGGCTTGAAGCCCTGAGCATCACCAGTGCGGGCTGGGAGCTCCAGGTGTGGGGCTCCGGGATTCCCACAAAAACCCCAAATCCCCGGCACTCTGCGCTCGGAGGCGGGCTAAGCCCCGCCTCGTATGCAAATGAAGCGCTCAGCGCAGCCAATGGTGGAGCAGTGGGTGTGGCCTCCGCGGGACTTGCCCGGGCATGTGCGCGCGGCGGCTTCCGGGCCGGACACGTGTGAGCGGCGCCGGGACCGGTCAGCACCGGGGACACCGGGGACACCTGGGGTGGCACTGCGGCTGGATGGGGCCAGAGGGGCCTGGGGGTGCGTAACGGGGCGGGGAGGGAGCTGGGGCCCGGAGCGACGCAGAGAGGGCCCGGGTCATGGACAGACAGGGCCCTAGGGAGTACGGAGTGGGGGGGACAGAGGGGGCAGTGGGGTGGACAGGGGGCTGCGTATCGGCGAAGGGGTGGAAAGGACCCTGGGATCGGGAATGGGACGGTGTGGGACCGGGCAATGAGGGGGCAAAGGCGTGGGGACAGGGTGTGGCAGTGTGTCCGTGTCCCCTCCCCCCCCCCTTCCCTTGCCCCAAAGCTCCTGGCTGTGCCACCCCGCAGGAGGGCGGTTTGCCCTGGGCTACGTGCGTCCTTTTCCGACAGGGGGGCATGGGGTCCGCATGGCACTCATGCCCCCTGTGTACGCTCCAGCAGGAATGCCACCAGGCAAAGGACAGATGACCCCGCTGCTGCCCGCCCCGAAGGTCTCCATGCCCGCCCTGCAGGGCACCCATGTCCCCGAAGCGGGCGGCTGCGCTCAGGCCCCGAAGGGTCCCAGCTTGGCACAGGGTCGCAGCAAGAAGAGGAGCCGTAAGCACCAGCGGTTCATGGAGCGCCGGGCAGTGCTGGAGCAGAAGGGGCTGCTGAGCCCCCATGGGCACCTGGGCACTCAGACCCCAAAAGTGGGGCTGGAGGCAAATGGCACCACGGCACTGTGCTGTGACAAGGTCCCCAAGCCCAAAGGGATCGTGTCCTCATCCCTGTCTCCATCTGCCTCTCCGGACAGCATAGCCAGGCACCACTCCGTGCTGCTGTCCCAGGGGAATGGCAGCTCCAAGAGGGTGCGGACATCCTCCCTAGTCCTGCGTCCGGGCAAGTATGTGGCCATCGACTGTGAGATGGTGGGCACCGGTCCCCAGGGGAAGCTGAGCGAGCTGGCACGATGCTCCGTGGTGAACTACGAGGGGGATGTCATCTATGACAAGTATGTCCGGCCCGAGCTCCCCATCGTGGACTACCGGACACGCTGGAGTGGCATCACCAAGCAGCACATGAAGAATGCAATTCCCTTCAAGGCTGCCCAGGCTGAGGTCAGGAAAAAAAGAAATATTTAAAAGTTAAAAAGCCTCTCTGTTATCTGTCAGACACAAATTGGGATTCTTGGTGGCCTGTGCTAGGCTGCTGTGAGGCAGAGGCACAACGCAGGAATGGGAGCTTCTGAAGTTGTGCAGTGGGTTGGTTTGCTTGCTTGTTATTCCTTCTGGGAGCCTAAAAACTAGAAGCCAAGGAGCTGAATTTAATACAAAATGGCTTATTTTATGCTTGGTATTTCTTTCTCTGCAGTGTATGTCTAACCCACTGTGACTCTTTCAGATCCTGAAGATCTTGAAAGACAAGATTGTGGTAGGACACGCCATCCACAATGACTTCCAAGCCCTGAAGTACTTCCACCCGAAAGACAAGACTCGAGACACCAGCCAGAGCCCTGTGCTGAAGAAGAGGGCAGGGCTGCCCATCAAAGCTAATGTCTCCCTCAAGAACTTGGCCAGGCACCTGCTCCATAAAAAGATCCAGGTAAGCACCAGGAGCACTGAGATGGGAAACAGCCCTGGGTTGGCTATGAGCTTGTGTGGTCAGCTTGATCTCCCACCTCCATGTGTGTTCTCTGTGAGGTGCACATGAACATGACACAGCTTACACAGTGCTCCTGGCTGTAAATAAGCTGGGAGAGCCAAGGACCTCCCAAACTGACAATTAAGCATCTCAGTCAAATGGGGACAGGATCTGTGCCATCCAAAAAGGGTGGGAGAGATACCTGCATGGCCTCGGCTACATCAAACCTTTGCTGTCTCCAAAACCCACAGCACTTGTGTCCTTCTAAGCAAGCAATGACCTGTGAGATTTTTGCTGCCCCTTTTATCTAATGAGGCTTTTTGCCATTTTCTCAGGGTGGCTGCCAAGGACACTCATCGGTGGAGGACGCTCAGACAGCCATGGAGCTGTACAGACTGGTGGAGGTGCAGTGGGAGAAGGAGCTGGCCCACAGCCTGCCCCCCCGGCCCCCCAGCCCCATCACAGACCCTGCTGCAGACAGCAGCCAGTACCTGGATGACCAGTACTGGCCCACAGAGCTGATGGCAAGCAGCCTGTGATGGGGGACAGCATCTCCTCCGTGTGTTCTGGGCCATCCTGCTGCCTTCAGCTGTAAAAGGTGGAGGTGACTGCTGACCTCCTCCCCTGGGGCTTGTGCCCAGCACCCAGCCCTGCTCAGGGGTGGAGACATGGTGACACCTGGACACAAGCAGTCTCCCAGAAATGCTGTCTGCAGCCTTGAGCTGTCGCACAGAAATAAGGTCTGTGACTGCACCGTGTTCATCTGTCACTTGGGGATGAGCAGGGTCCTGTGTCTGCCTGGAGGAGCCTCTGTGGGCATGTAATGGGGGCTACCAACACCCTCCATACTTTCTGTGGTTGTCCTCCTCTCAGACAGCAAAGGGAAAGTTATCCTGTGGAGGAACGGAGGTGTTTCACTGATAACCAAAGGCTGCAAACCATCTGGGCCAGTAAACGACCAGTTTGCTCCTCACTTTCTTTCATAGAATCATAGAATATGTAAATATGCTGAGTTGGAAGGGATCCATCAGGGTGATTGAGTCCAACACCTGGCCCTGCACAGGACACCCAAAGAATCCCACTATGTGCCTGAGGGCTTTGTCCAAGAACTCCTTGAACTCAGGCATGTTTGATGCCATGATCACTTCCCTGGGGAGCCTGTTCCAGTGCTCAGCTCCAGCTGAATATTTTGTCCAGAAGGACACTGGAGAGACTGTCAAAAGCTTTGCAAAGTCGAAAAAGATTTCATCACCTGGTGTCCCTTGATGAGCTAGGTGGGTACCCTGTTGTAGAAGGAAATCAAGTTCAATGAGTAGGACTTTGCCCTCATGAACCCATGCTGTGACCAATGACTGCATTGTGCTCCTGGTGTTTTTCAATACCTCCCAGAAAAATCCTCTCCATGATTTTACCTGTCAGTGGAGTGAGACTGACAGGCTGTAGTTTCCAGCCCTTCTTGCCCTTCAAAATTGGGCAACATTTGCCAGCTTTCAGTCAGCTAGGACCTCTCTGGATTCCCGAAAGTGCTCAAAAATCATTGAGCAGCTCTGTAATGACATCAGCAGCTCTTTGAGGATTCTTAAATGAATCCCATCAGGCCCCATAGATTTATAGGGATCTAACTGCACAATGAAGTTCAAGAGGAAAGTCTGGATCTAATCAATGTCCAGCCTGGACAAGAGCACTGAATGCACTTCATTTTAAATAAATGATTCACATAATTGTCCAATTCTGAATTAAAAACTCTTCTGACTAAAACCCTTGTGTATATTCTGCATGATTTGATCTGGCAGTTCTCCAGGAGTGAGAGGGCAGGGAGAAGGTTGACAAACAGCTGCCCCAGTACCATGCCGTGTTCTAGGACTTCAAACCCACCTGCAACTGGAAAAAGTGCTTTGAGTGGCTGGAGTAGGTAGTTCCTTGGGGTACAGGCTTGTCCCCTCTGCTCTGGGGACACCTCTGTGAAGGCAGGAGGAGCAGGGCATGGGCTCAGCCAGAGTCCAGGGTCTGGGAGCAGGATCACTGTGGGAATGTGAGCTGTGGCATGGGCTGCTGCCATGGTGTGGGGACAGGGTAATGCCCATCTGCAGTAACTGCCTGTAGGTGACGTGTAGGTGATCTGTGGCTGCAGAAATGTGCCCCAGCTGGGTGTGTGAGCACCAGAGAGGGGTTTGGGGCTGGACACAGGGAGTTACCTGATTCACCAGGGAACTGAATAGCCATGCTTTTTGAAAAATTTATATAGATACAGATTTTTTTTTGCCATGTGCCTTAATGGCAGCCCTCTGGTGCATCCCTTGAGCACAGTCCCACTGCCTGGGCTGTGAGATGGGAGGTGGCAGAGCAGGCTGGAGGGCTGCCAGCACCCTGGGAAATTGGGGAGCTTGGTGCAGCACGGGGTAAAACAGCCAGCACTGGAGTGGAGTCCGTGACCCCATCAGCCAGGCTAGACTATCCCAGGCTCTTCCCAGCAGCCAGGGGAAGGTAAGGAGAGCTCAGCCCCAGCCTTGGGAAGCGGCCAAGGCAGCAGGGTGACGTAGACACACCTGACGCACACATCAGTGCCATTAGCAGACACATCTTGCACTTCCCATCTTAACTCCTCCCTGCCTAGCAGAGGAAACCAGGAACAGCTCAGAAATGCTTTGAAATGTGTCAGACACGTCTAAAAATCTTTGTCCTCACAGTGGCCCAAACACAACCATCCTTCAACAGATACAATAACCTGGGCTGTGCCATGAGCTTGGGGTCTGGACAGGAAAGGAAACGTGGCCCCATGGCAGGCCTTTAATTCCTGCTTGTTCCAGTTTGTCCCAGGTGTGTTCCTGATGCAGCAAGCTGTAAAACAGGGCCAGCAACACCCTCTGTGCCAGCCTCGGGGTGCAGCTCAGCTGAGCTGTGCAATGTCAGCAGGACCTGAACCCCACAGGGCACACAGAGGGGTGCAGGACGAGCACAGCTGGTGCAGGTCTGTTTTCTCCTCTCTGACATCTCCACCTCCCCCAGGCTGGCAGGAGAGAAGTGAAGCTGTAGGAAAGCTGAAAGCTCTGCATCCCATTGTCAGTAGATGGTGGCATTCCAAAAGTGATGCAGCAGTGCTGTCTTTGCTCCTGGGCAAGCAGACCTGGAGGAAGGACAGAGCAGAGCTTTGCTCATGGCCATATAACCTGGCCCTTGTAACCATATGCCTCGTGTACATGCGTTTGTGGAGAGCTTATAGGGGGCAAATTATTTGTCCACCTGAGGCCCAACCTATTGCCCCTCCAGCCCCACTGTGTCACTGCCTTGTACTAAGCCCTGTGATGGTCGATGTGAGACACAGGTGTGTTGAGGTGAACCTGGAGAAGGCTTTAGCAGCCCATGACTCAGTCTGCCGTGCCATCAGCCTAAGGTATAATTAAGGAAAAAAGCATTTCTGAAATCTTGACCATCCACTGATTTAACCCTCCTGCTGAAATACCCTCCCTGCTTTGGAGGCAAATTTGGAGGCAGCCATGCCACCGAAGGGCAGCTACCCTTTGGTGCTGTCATGCCCTGCAAGCTTTGGCTCTATGCCATGATCTCCACCTCTTGAGGAAGGCGAGAAAAACCTTGAGGGTTAATCCCTATTTGTATCAGATTTGAAGGGCTTGGAAAACCCCAATACTGTGTACTGCAGCCCCCAAAAATAGGGCTGCTGCTGAGCAAACCTCACATGGACGATTAGGAGGTGGTGGCAATCTGCTCCCTGCCAACAATGTTTGCTCTGAATAATCTAAATGGCAACATTCGCCCCGTTTTCAGCCTCTGAGAGCTAATCGGGATTTTCACAGGTGTTTGTGAATATTCACCTCCATGCCAGCTCGGAGTTGCCATGGCTGAACAAACTCCAGCTCATCACACGCTCTGGCTCATCTCAGGAGCAGCCTGCTGGAGCTCGTGTCGGGAGGCTGAACATCTTTAGGCGGGAGAAGGAGAGCTGGGCTGGCTCACCATTTACGCGAAATTTTGTGATAATTGAAGAATCTGCCGAAAACTCAGCTGTTATCTCAACAACCCCTGAACAATGATTAACCCAAACCCATGAATCCAGCACTGGGCTGTTTTATCAGAGGGAAAACATTGTCAAATGAGTTTTTTCCAGCCAGCTGCGAGTGCAGGTAACCGATAAGGCCGTCATTGGAGTGGGGCTGAGCCAATGGGAGCCGATGGCGACGGCTTTTGCTTCTGTCTAGCAACAGCTTCTCCTTGAGCAGCAGGCACAATTCAATGCTTTGTCTTGCTTTTATTGAGCTTCCCTCCTGCTACATGGGGGTTTTCATGGGGGGCACTCAAAAACTGAGGCTTGTGTGGATTCTCCACCTTTTCCTGCATGTTTTGGTGTCTGTTCCTTTCCTGCCATGGTGAGAGTTTGCAGCTGTGAAAGGCTCCATCCTGCTCACACCCTGGGCTCTGCTGGCTCCCTCCCTTGTCCATGCACCAGAAATTCTGCTGTGTGGGTGTTGGACACCCACAGGGTACTTGGAATAGCACCATGGCAGAACAACAGCTGTACCAGGAGCCCTGTGGCAGGATTGTGTCTGACCTTCCTGCCCTGCATCCCCAGTGCCTGACCATGGTCCAGCACCTTTCCCAGCTGCCAGGGACTGCTTGCATGGGGAGCACGGCTGGGAGCAGCATCCTCTGATCAATCACCTGCCTTGCTTTGCTGCTGGCTCTGCTTATCACCAGTACCTATGGTTGAAATCCCACATAAAACCCAAATCACAGAATCACACAGTTGGAAGGAGCTCACCAACACCTGGTGTTGGACAGGACATCCCTAAAAATCCCAGCATTAGTGTCTTGGGGTGGAGCAATGCTGGTACCTAATAACAGCCCGGAGCAAGCTCCTAACCTGAGGCTCTCTGTCCCCTCGCTGTGGAGACACAGAGGGACGATTCACCCTGTTTGCAGAGGCTTCACTCGATTGTTTCACCAAATATTTGGACCAAAGCAGTCCCAGCAGAGAGAGGACCCACGTTCCTGCACTCCCGCCCCATCAGCACCCCCACCCACCCCTCTCCTCTACTCCCCGGGGGTAAATTAGAAGGCAGAAAACTCGCAGCCAACTCTAAATTAAAATCTCAGGAGCCCTAATAAGCGGCTTGGCCGGAAGAAGCAGATAGGTGTGATGTGGAAATGAATAGGCACATCTGGCAGGCGCTTAGCACCTGGGCTGCAGGAGGGGTGTGCGTGATGTGTGCGTGTGCAAACCCCAGCACAGCCTCCCGGATTGGCTGCCAAACCCCTTCCCGAACAGCGCCGGGAACAGGGTGGCCTAGCAACAGGCTTTTCCTAATGAAAAACAAGCCACTTAACAAACCATCGTGACTGTGTGCATACGAGAGGGAAAGGCAATTCCCAGCAGCTCCATCCTCCTCAGGGAGCTGGCCCCAAAGGCAAAGAGTGAGTTGGACAAGGTGGGGTGACCTGACCTGAGTGCCCCTGTACCCCTCAGTCCCTGCTCCACAAATGCTTTGGGTGCATGGCAAAACACAAAGAAGCCCCCAAGGATAACCCCCCTCCATTCTCCACCCCCAGAATGGCTCACCCCACCACAGGCACCCCACAGCCCTGCACTCACAGGGTGAGCTGGGGCTGGATGCCAACAGGTCATGGGGGCCACGAGCTGCTGAAAGGGCCACCTTTAGATCAGGAGGGACTTGTGGGGTGCAGCACTGGGGGAATGTGGGGTGTTCCCCAGCACTGGCAGGAGAAGGAGGAGCTGAGGGGTTGGTCGCTGCTGTTGCCTTGCTTGGGGATGTTACCTTTCCTTGTTCCTGCCCTGGGATTCTCTCCTCCAGCAGGAAAAAGGCTCCAAGGACAGTGAGGATGAATGCATGAGCATAAGCCCATGCCATGCCTTAACCACAGCCTCTCTGAAAGCCAGATAACAAAATAACCACTAATTATGGATGGGGGGACTGGGGCTGGCCCTGGAATCAGTGGGAGCAGGAACACTTTGCAGGAGTCAGGCTGGCAACAACGGCAATGGATATCATGGCAGAGAATCGCTTTTGGGCTGCAGAAACCCATCTTCCTTGGGGAACAGCAAGTTACAGGACAGCTTTCTCCTGGCAAGGTGTGCAATTCCCAGTAAGGCAATGTGGGGAGAGGACCAGCTCAGCCCACTGGCACTGGAGACAGCAGCAGTGTGGTGTGGTGTTTCCTTCATCCCCATTTGAGGCATCATTTCAGAGAGCTTGAAGCTGTACACCAAATCTGTGGTCTTTCAGCCTCTCCTTTTGCCTTCTCAGCTCACCCTGAGGATGATGGGGAGATGTTGGAGCACCTGTGGTGCTTTTTAAATTTTCTTCTTAAAGGGAGGTTCCATCTGAGCTGAAAGAACAGCCCATGGCTCCAGCTCAGACCTGCCCCACAACAGAGCTGCCTCCCCCACTCCACTCTTGCACACCTGCATCCCCTCACAAAACTTTAGAAAGAATCCTTTTTTTTTTTTCCCTGCCAAACAAGAAAACATAATGCCATCATCTTTCCAATGGCCAGTGCAGAGCCGGTGACCAGGGCAGAGCAGCAAGTGTGGTGTGCTCCAGGCCAATATCCCTCCACTAAGGGTGAAGTGTGGTGAAGGCTCTTCCCTGGGGGAACCTGATGGGGAAAAAAAAATTAAAATAACAGGAGTAGAGGGAAAGCACAAAGCATGACTCCTCAACGCCCTGAAGTGACCCCCGGGGAGCCCCCAGTCCCATTTTTCACTCAATTTCTGCCTATTTCAG